AGAATAGTGGGAGGGCTTAACATTCCTGGATACTGGTCTTTGGCAGTCTTAGGCAGGTAACTGGCTGGCAGTAGGCAGGAAGCTGTATGCCTGGCGTCCGAAATAAGATGCCCCATCTGTATACCTGTTCAAAAACAAATGAACCAGGAAGAGGAATAAAACGCTTCATGTGTTCGGGCCTCTTACCCCTCGTACAGAGCTGGTCTGACTGGCTGTCTGCAGTCCAGCTCTGGTTCTGGATCTTTCTCCACACTGGGGAAAGGAGGGGGTCTCCTGATGTGAGGTCTCTGCTCCCAGTATGAGGTGATGCACTGTCGCAAGAACCAGTGTCCACAGCTGGTAGAGACTGGATCCTTCAGGACGTCCTGACACAGAGCACAGCTGGACAGCTGCTCCTCCACAGGAACACCACTCTTCCTCTTCCCTCTGTGGAGATGAACACATCCTTTACAGCACGTCACATTAGTGGAGCTGATTCTCACCAATGGGCAGAGCGTCACAAACGTCACTCTCAAGATGAAATGTGTCACGCTACACGAATACGCAGGTGACATGAATTTCACCTCTTCACTTTTTGGTGTCTCCAGGCACGGATCTGGGTCTTTGCATTGACTCTACATGTAATCACACAAAGCTCTATTATATCTGCTAATGCTAAACACAACCAGCTCACCAGGTCATCACTATCATTAATAAACATCTTTAAAATACATATCATAAACATGCCCAAGTAGTAAATAATGTTTTGGACGATATATTTAGTTTTTAGTGAGTATTTATCAATATCTTTGCCATTTAAAACCTTTTGATGCCACTGATACAATGATGCTATAAATGCATATTGAAATATCCTCAAATAATGTTAGCTTGCTGTACTCTGCTGCCTTTGTTCTGTACTATACTGCACACATGATATTATTAAAGAACAGTTTAATATATTAGATTATATAAAAACTGGATCCTCTTCAGGTCAGGTTACAGCAGAAACTCTTACTTTGTGTCTGAGGGTCCAGGTTCATTACTGAAGTTTAGAGGATACTCTTTAGACCAGTCACTCTTCAGAGACAGACAGCTGGGGACTGGAGACTCTGCTCTCTGTCTGTGGAAACAACACATGTTTTAAACATCATTAGTTCATTCAGAGAGCACATTTTGACTTCTGTCTGTATGTAGATTATTTACTATCGCTGATGAAGCCAGGGATCAAGAGTTTAAACGTTGTTACTGTACTGTTACTAAGTTTCTTTACTGCGATCATTAAATAACAGGTTAGACTAGAAAAGGCATTTCCTGCTGAAAATGCGTGTGAATGCTGAAAGCTGCTCAAATGTGTTGCTGACTTTGCTGAAAATGCAGCAGAGAAAGCTGAATATCTGAATAGCTGAATGGTGACTGTAGCTGTGTAGTGATCAGTGAAAGGAGAGGGTTTCATGTGAAAAGTTTTTGTCACATCCTCGCCCTCAACAGCCTTTTTTTCAAATTCTATACTTAAATGTTTTTATTTTTCAACCTAAGAGATGTTTTCCTACATTTTCATCAACAAATGAGTGTAGAGTTTGGGACTTATGGCAGGTTTAACATTTCTTTTTTTTTGGCGAATTTGAAGCTCTCCTCCACTCTGTTTTGAGATCAAAGCTCTCTAGACTTAACGAGCTGCACAATACACACTAATGTTAAAATCTGAAGAAGGCCTCTTTACCTTAAGATTCTAAATGAGTGCATTACAGAAACAATGAAAATATGGTCGACAATACAAAATACATTTAATATATCGCTGATGACGCCAGGGATCAAGAGTTTAAACTGTGTTACTGTACTGTTACTAAGTTTCTTTACTGCGATCATTAAAGAACAGGTTAGATGATCAGATAACATAAAAACTGAATCCTCTTCAGGGGCCTCATTTATAAAGGGATATACGCTCAAAAAATGGCGTACGCCAGTTTCTACGCAATGTTTGCAATTTATAAAATACTAACTTGACGGGAAAATGTGCGGTCCTCCACGCAAACTCTAACCCATGTGTACGCACTAAGCACACACACGGGAGAGACGAGAAACTGCGACACCGTTGGCAGAAGGAAGAATGGAGAGAAATATGTGGAAATAATACCATAAATAAAATGTTACCTCTCATTTATCAAATATGAAGAATTCATTTTCAAACATTGATTAAAGCCAATCTTAAATGATTAAACAAACGCCTGTTTGAGACTCCTCAGTGCACACAAAAACATAACTTGGAGAAATAAATAAATACGGATATGTTATTTAAAACCACCTCGAATATGTTGTGTTAATGTTATGAAATGTTTTCTCATAAATGATGCGGTAAGCAGGAGGACAGAATTACGTCTAAACTGATGCCGTTTTGCATTTCTATAGGTTGTAGATACGAGCATGGTTTTATATACTATCACGTTTAATCGTGTTTTATGCCGTTTGCCAAGACTTGATAAGTCGCTCGTAAAACACAGGAGGTATGGAAACTAAGAACACCATATATTTGGATAATTGTACAGCTGATTTAACACAACACATTTGTTTTATTTCATTTAAGTGGTGGGTAGAGTTGTTGCGGTGGCGTTGAGACACACATGGACACTGCCTCAAGTTGAAGAAACAGTACTCAAGACTGGCTATCCGCCGCAACCTTTCAGCCTGCGTGTGGTCGACTTGTGGAATGATCTGCCAGAAAGCGTTGTCACATCCAAGACGGTTAACTGTCTCAAGTCCCGCCTCGACTATTACTGGTCAAACATCACCTTCACTTTGGACTATGTGACTGTTGCCAGCATCCATAGTATATAAGAACAGTGATCTACTTATTTATGAGCGACTAAAAGGCCTTAGGCCTACTACAGCCGTATCCTATTGATTGATTGATTGATGGTGCAGTGGAGCCGCTGCGCACAGCTGATCGGCAGCTGGAACACAAACCACGTTTGTAAACAAAGCCCCAACTGTTTTACATGCATGTGCTAACCCAGCTTAATTGCACTCGGTTCGGTTTACTATCATTTCTAAAAAGGGAAGAACATTACGTTACATCTGAGGTAGGCTATCCTGTGCGTCTGGTGGCGGGCACACCTCGGTGTGCAACTAGCCTATATACGTTGCTGTGATTAAAAAAGCTTGCATGGTCTAAAATCAATTATCGATAATAACTTTTAACAGTAGTAGGCTACAACAATGTAAATTAAATAGCAATATTAATTATCATTTAATACTATGGCCACCAAACAAAATGTTTTGCCTTGTCTCTACTTCTCCGACAAGGATTTCAACTTCAGTTATTGAAGTTTCTTTTCTTGCCTTTTTTTCTGTCTTTGCCATGTTCGTTTTTGCCTGAAATCGGTTTGATGAATATTCATTATGGGCGTATCAATGACTATTTATGGGCAAATATGGGTGTGGACGGGAAGCCCGCAAAAGCTGCGCCGCATTTCGAGTTGATTGTGATTTATAAAGGGAAACAGGCGTAGGAAGTGCCGTACGCATCCCTCGCCGGTACGCAATGTTTTGTGAATCGGAAAATGTCGGTCGGAAAATTTCTGTACCTATTTTTTTGCTTTGTAAGCAACCTTCCCACGTGAATCCTACGCAAGGCGTATAAATGAGGCCCCAGGTCAGGTTACAGCAGAAACTCTTACATTGTGTCTGAGGGTCCAGGTTCATTACTGAAGTTTGGAGGATGATCATTAGACCAGTCACTCTTCAGAGACAGACAGACTGGAGACTGGA